ATATATATATATATATATTCCGTTCAAATTTATGTATCATATTGTGAATAGATACAAAACAATTCATATTTACTTGGTAAGTGTCTGTAAAGAAGAAGTATAGATGTCGCCTCCGACATCAATATGAACAGGAGCTGTGAAGCGGGTAGCCGCTGCCACACACGGGATTCCAGAGATTTTATGACTGTAGTTTGTAGATTCAATAGAAGTCATCATCATTTTGGAGTCCATCCAAGACCTGTAAGATACAGTGAGTTTATAATAAGAATTGCACTTTAAAAAATAAGGGTAATAATATGCAACATGGGAAAGATAACAGGAAAACTTAAACGGGGAAATTTTCCGAATTTAATGAGACATTCGAACGTACACGGATGTAAAGTACTTAAGTAGGCCTACGTATTCTTTACAGATATCTGCTCGTGTATGATCCATTTATAACTTTTCAAATGCACATTTTTTAACTGTTTCTTCCAGGCAAATGTCATAAAATCTGATGACAAACATAGGAGAAAAACATTATTTTAATTAATTAGTTTTTATAAAACATGAAACTTGTCGTTAATGAATACTCAAATTCACGAGCCTAAATATATTTGATTTTGTGAAATGTATTTGCATATTATCATATGAAAATTTTTAGTGCATTTTATCCTATTTAACTATTTATTTCAATATAGCCATTAATTGTGTTGGAATAGTAAATACCTGATCTGACTATAAATATCGAAACACCGGGGAATATATTAAACTTGACTGTTTAATTTGTGGGCTTAATCATGGCAAATTGTAAAATCAAATAATGGATTTAACGGTGTTCGTTAACGCACTTTTATATCAACGTCATGAGCAGAAACACACGGTGATTCTTTCTGTGATCACAGCCGCCTAGTAATTCGATGTGAAATAAATCTTTCTATGGCTTTAGCTTTTTAGGTTGCGTCGTAAACATATTTATATATATTTCCACTGTTTAACCCTTTTAAGAACTCGCACATACAACAGACATTCGACCATCTTGTTATATATATTAGGCTTAGCCCGAAGGTCGTCGCCAATCGGTTTTACCTATGCCTTAAGGGGGAAAGGCTCGGTGTTCATGGTCTTGCTGTGATGAATTGGCTGCGCACACAATTATTTTCTAGGCTTATACTGTGATATCTCTGTTTGCATTCAACCCACGATGTGAACCGTGGAGAAAAATATTTGGAAAACACGTTCGACTAACTACAGCGAGCGAGAAAACATTGCTCGATGTGTTGCATTTATTATTGATTTAGCATTTTTGTGACTTTGTGTAATCACTAACAGTAGTAGCTGTATTTTACAAAAAATAAAAATATTGTCCGTATCTTACAAAGTAATTTAACTTATACCTGTATTGTAATACTAGTATGTGAACTCAAAAATTATCACATGAAATACGTAAAGAAAATATTAGCTACTGAACTTTATACGAGGCACTCACTATGTGCACGAGAATAGTTTGTGTTACTTTTTGTAGGAGATATTTTGAAATGGAAGCTTTTGATAAATTGAAGAAAATCTGTTTACTTTTAGATTGATATTATGACAAAAAACAAATATGTTAATATAATTAAAATAGCAATAACAAGCGCATTTATCAATAATAATATTGTTATAAGCTATATTTTTAATATTGTAATTTGTTTGTTAGACAGGGAGTTGCCGGTCATTATGACGTATGATAAAAAAAACGTCAATAAGGTAGGCCTAAAACACCGAAAAATTAAAAAACAAAAACAATTACGTCAAGTTTTCTAATAAGTTCGAGGGTATATATATTGATACAAGGTTGAGAGAATTGTTTTAAGATGGCAGAGTGAAACAGTCCGAGTGTATTTTCTTTTCAGCCAGAATATACTTTCAGTGAATTATTTGGATCTATGTTTTAGCTATCGCACATCTTGAGTTGATCAATCGATCAGTTGTGAAGCGCAAGTAAGTTATTCTTTATGATAGTGTAACGCAGGTAGAGTCATTTTTAAACGTACAAGTTACCACAGTGTTTAAGCTTGAAGAAGAATTAAAGGAGAAAATAAACAAATTTGTTATCGTCACGTGAACTGGATATTTAATTATCTTCACCAGATAATTTAAAAGAACCCGACAACGAAAGAACAACGTTACAACAATATTTTCCAGTGAGTGGTTAATAGCTAAATGATTGGACATTTAATGGCGATGTGAACGAATTGTGGTCAGAATTGAATATTAACAATAACAGCCACATAGGCTTTTTTTTTTTTATATATATAAAATCTTTCGATATAACATTTATTTTTTCTTCATATGTTTTTAAAACCGAAGTAGCCCACATAGGTTATTAATATCGCGCCTTATAGACATATAGAAATTTCACAGTTTATTCGTTGTACAAAATTAATATATTTTTAAGTTTTCTTTTTCATGAAAAACAAAGTTCCCTTCAGACAAAGAGAGAAAGACTTTTCCGCCTACCTAGACATTACTTACTAATCTCTGAAGACTATTTAAAAGAAGTGAAATCTGTTGACAATTGATACGATCTCGTTTTTATATTTCAATACTTTGTGGTTTGAAAAAAAAAAAAGTCGTGTTTTTGTGACACCGTGATTTGTATTATACCTTCTCATCTTAAATTTATATTTCGAGCATTGGGCATTTTGAAATAATCAGAAAAAAAATGCATCTTAACAAAAACCAAGTTTTGAAAACGTACAAAAGTGATTTCAAATATAATGTGTGGTAATAATTGATAGCAAGGTTGAGTTTAGCCAGTAGATATAAAAAATAAAAAACAATAATGTTCGTTTATTTGTTTATCCAGCTTTATGGCTCCCCCTAACGAATTCTATGTAAAATTTTGTTTTTACCAAATAAATGGAAATAAAATCATAACCAACTGCGGTTATTTTTATAACGTTTCTCTTAGTTCGTAAAGGATGCCCCTGGTAGTTCAGCGGTAAGTCTGAGGGCGTATAACGCTAAAAATCTGGTTCCGATACTTGCGGTGGATAAAACACGGATAATACTTTATGTAGCTTTGCGCACACAAACAAATATATAAAGAATTTCCAAATGGAAATAAAGCATCACTTTGATTTATGTCTTGTTTGTCAAAGGTCATTTCACAGGGTGCATTTGATTTTAAACACAGAATTCATCAGCTGTGCTGAGCTCATGACAGCCAAAATCTGAAATGCTAATTGTATACGGGACAAGAAACTCGTCGCTACGGTGCCAAGAGCTTTCTTGCTTCGGTATGTTGGGCGTTTCACGCCACAACATTACGTATATAAAGCAGTTTACACCACCAGAATAATTCAATTTTCAATCAAACACTTATTTTATATATTTGTTACACCCACAAAAAATAATATTGTAGAATAAAAAAGATGCGTATGTTTCATGTACTTGAGGATTGGTTTTGTTTTGAATTTCGCGCAAAGCTACTCCAGGGCTATCTGCGCTAGCCGTCCCTAATTTAGCAGTGAAAAACTAGAGGGAAGACAGCTAGTCATCACCACCCATGGCCAACTCTTTTACCAACGGATAGTGGAATTGACCATCTCATTATAACGCCCCCACGGCCGAAATGGCGAGCATGTTTGGTGTGATGGGGATTGGAATCCACGACCCTCAAATTGCGAGTCAAGTGCCCTAACCACCAGGCCATACTTGAAGGACAGAGAGACTTGTGCACAATATAAATTTCCTCAAAGTTGAAACAGTATTTGTTATAAAAACACCATTCAACTGTTTAGATTGGTTTTAACCAATAAGTGATAATTCCAGGGTAATAGGACATATTTATTATGACATTATGTATGTCTCAAGTATATTTCTAGAGAATCAGCTTAATGGTTCGCAAAACGACTTTCATACTCTGTTGAAAATATAAAATTTCATTGGGTTTCCAGTTCCAGATTTGTCCGCTGCATCATATCAGCACTAAAGTGTTAGAATACTCATAAATGTTGATGATTACAGCTACTATTATAGATAAGCGTTTTGTTTCCTCTTCTTCTTATCATCTGTGGCAGTGGAGTAACTACGAAATATGCTCTCCACCCCCTCCCCGCATGAAAAGTAATCGAACTCCCTAAATTTATTCCCCTAATCTGTAATTCATAAGTTTGTCAAACCCTGCGCCCCCCCCCCTCAATCTTTAAGACTAATGTATCCCAGAAGTGATATTTAATTGGTAACTTCAACATATGATCTGTGAAGCAAATACTGAATTCAAGAGTACATTAAGCCCGAATAAGAAACATGTAAAAGAAAGTTGCAGAATTTAACAAAAAAAAAAAAACGAAAAAGAAGAGATTTTTTGATGGACTGTCTTGAGAAATTTTATTGTGGATTTAGCGAACAAGACTGATTTCTATCAACTGATATGTTCAAGTAGAACAGAAAGTTCACCTTTGGATTACCTATAATCGTGTAACTTTTATCGGAGAAGTGAAAACTGGGCCAAGTGTCTCAAATCATGCGCATTTATTTATTAAAAGTCACTACTACTACCAAAAGTAAACGACTGTTATCAATAGTTCTGATGATTTTTTAAATACAATGTTACGAGTTGCTAAAAATGTATTGTTTAAAAACACGAATAGAGTTTTGTCCTTATCAGAAACGTTTCAGAGGAACTTGTGAAAAAAATAAAATGACACTAAATCTACCAGTTTGTGCTACGTTGAAGTTTTATACAAGTCTTTTTACATGACAGGAAAAAATAAACTTAAAGCGCTTGTTGTTGGGGGATTTCGTGCCACAATACTCGAGAGATATTTGTGCTAGCCTTCAGTAATACACTAAAGGGAAGGCAGTTAGTCAGCACCACCCACCGCCAACTTATGGAATACTCTAATCGAAAAGTTGGATTTAACTGTCACTCTTATGACATTTCTTTTCAGGTACAGAAACAGCAGACAACATTTCGGCTATTTTTATCAGGCGTTAATTTTAATTTTACTATATGCTTGAATATGTTAATGATTTTAATTGCCATGGTAAACTTGATGGTATTGGTTTGCCCCCCAGTGGCACAGCGGCATGTCTGCGGACTTATAACGCTAGAAACCGGGTTTCGATACCCGTGGTGGGCAGAGCACAGATAGCCAACCCACTGTGATGCCTTGTACTTAAGTTAGAACAAAAATGTAAAGGTGTTGGTAATCGTATAAGCATCTCGTTCTTATCTATACGTCTGCATCAACAGGACGTAATTTTAGGAA